AAGCAGCAAGAGTGTTTTTTCCAACCTCCCGTTTTAAGTGTCAAAATGTTAAAACTGAATCGTATGCAGTCAGCATGCATAAAAAGTATAAGTGTGTTTTCAGATTATGTATTGTACATATATATACACATACATCTTGTGTTTTTGGATGACGTACTGTGCAGTTTCATTCGTTGTCCCTAAAAGAAAAGGTGTTTTATCCTTTTAAACTTAATCAAATATATTTTTACTAACTTAAGACAGCACTGGTATTTCTCCCACTATAGTTAACAAAATAATAATAATAATAATAATAATGAGATGTAGGCTAATGTAAATACAAAATGTAGGCTAATAAAACAAATATCACTCCCCCAACCCCCGCCCCAATAAGTAGCTACTCGGTTGTAAGTGCCTGTGTTTGTGAATGGACCAAACACTTGAAAAATAACTCTACATGCGGATATCGGGGAATAACTAATAATAGGCCAAATGAGAAATTAGCCTATTGAGTAGCCTACATATAGGCCTACTGCTGTAGCCTAAAAGATGGCACCCCCCTATTTAGACAGGGCTTTATTATGCTTTTTTTTTACTGTATACATCAGAAAGACATCTATTTATAGAATGAATTTAGAATGAAAATTAAATTTAAGTTAATTTAAAATTTAAAATTAAAATTCAATGAAAGAAAGAGAGAGAGAGATTTCAAAAGGCGCAAGACCTTTAAGCACAAATTAATAATTTGCAGAAATGCATGCATCCAGTCTGATACTGAAGCGTGTGGTCAGAGATGTCATTCGGAACAAGAAAATAAAAAAAAAAGAAAATAATAATAATTTGTTTACATTTTAATAATAAAAAAATGTTTTAGAATTGTAGCCTATACAAACTGACATTTTGTTACGAAATAGAATACGGCATTTTCTCGAAATTCTCGTTGTTGTTGATGGCGAAAACTAATGTATAGGCTACTCAAGAAAAAAAATTGTTTTCTTCCTAAAGAACTTAATGTCTTTCCCTCCTACCCCCCAATAATAATAACAATAATAATAATAATGATAAAAACATTAAAATGTTGATCAGTCAAAAACAGATCCGAGTTTTGTCGTAGGTTTTCTTTTACTCGTTCAAGACATCGGTTAGTTCTTTAATATCAGTCTTGACAAGACTACTGATTATTTCATTAATTTAATTTGTTAACATTTTTGTGCCAAGCATGAAATGTGAGTGACAATTTCTATGTTAGAGAATATTGTCATGTAAATGTTCTCCTTCTAAATCACCTGAAGTTCTCCTGCGCCCTCTTTTGGAAAATAGTAGATACCCTTTTGTACTAAAGTCAGCAGGAGTCAGAAGTTTCAACCTGTCCACTTTAATAATACATTTGACTTTTTCTCTTATGATTCAAAGAGAGCCTCAAAATAGCTCTAATTTGCTAGAAATTATATTTATGAGCATACTTTTAACTGGGATTTAAATGTATTGCAAACACAATCCAATAAAACATTAAACTGCATACGGTATGTTTCTCATTTGGTCATCTGGCGCCATCTAACGGTGGTTTTTAAAAACTGTAACAACAATACAATTTACTTTATTAATGTGGATTGCAGTTGTGGTACTGTATGAGGAAGTCGGGAGTGGGAGAGAAGTATGTGAGAGGGATGTAGGATATGTATGAGGACAGTGTGACAGCGGAGAGGTGTGCGGTGGGTATGACAGATTGGTTCAAGGTGATGAGGTGAAGGTACAAGACAGAGTACATGTACATAAATGGGACAGAGTGCAGCAGAAAGGCGCAGTTACAAGTAGCAGAAATGGTGAAGGTGGATGCATTTAAATACTAGGGGTCAGCTATCCAAAGTAATGGAGAGTGTGGTAGAGAAGTAAACAAGAAGGGTAAGTGAAGGGGAAAATTTACAAGATGGTAGTAAAACCCGTTATGTCATATGGCTTGGAGGCGGTGGCACTGACAAAAAAAAAAAAAAAAGGAGCTGGAGGTGGCAGAGTTGAAGCTGCTGCAATTTTCTTTGGGATTGACAAGAAAGTGAGAGAGGCTGGACTAAGATGTTTTGGGCATGTGCATAGGAGGGATGCGGGGTGTTTTGGGAGAAGAGTTTTGAGGATGGAGACACTGGGCAGGAGGAGAAGAGGAAAACTCATGGAGAAGAGGAGATTCATGGATGTGGTGATGGAGGACATGAGGGTGGTTGGTGTGATGGGGTGATGGAGGAAGAATGGAAACGGATGATCCATTGTAGTGACCCCTAATCGGGAGAAGCCGAAAGAAGAAGAAGAATGTGGATTGCATACATCCACATTAAACATGACAAAACAAGAATAGGTCATGTCTATGTACTTTTAGTTTTAAAGTGCCTTGTTGAATACATGTTTAAACTTAAAATGAAAACAAAAAATGTGTTAGAAGTGTCTTCAAAATATGATTTGAGAAAGATCAGCTTTCCTGGAGACTGTTTTCAGATTAGCTACATTTCACCATGGCAACAACAATGTCCTAACTCTGCTACCAGAAAGTGTATCTAGACCACAAGGAACAGGAACACTGAAATATTGCGAAAATATATTTTCACTTGTTTATTTGCCTGGTAAACCTGATTAGAAAATCTTATGATGAAATGTCTTGTAGAGTCAGCCATGGAGGGCAGCTCACCAATAGCATCCAGGTGAAAACAGGAGTTAGACAAAGATGACTATTGTCACCCTTCCTGTTTCTTTTTGGCATTGACTGGATTATGAAGGAACCCACTAGAGAGTGAAGGAACTGAATCCAAAGGACCTTGTGGACCCAGCTCAAGGATCTGGACTTTGCTGACGACCTTGAACTTCTCTCCCACAACAAACAGCAGATGCAAGAGAGGACTGATGTAGTGACAACTAGTTAATCTCAGATTGGCTTAATCGTTAAGAGAGATAAGACCAAGATCCTCAAGATAAAATCCACAAGCAAGGATCCAGTCATGCTGAATGGAAGTCCCCTGGAAGAAGTCCAGTCATTCACCTACGTGGGCAGCATCATTGACCAACGGCACAGATACAGATGTTAAGGCGTGACCTCGAGGCTGACGTCACCAAGATGGAGCCAGTTGGAAAGAATCGCCAAAGACAGAGGAATCTGGAGATCTGTGGTTGGTGGCCTATACCCTGGCAAGGCTGACGGGCGTAAGTAAGTAAGAAAGTTATTTGTTTTATTTTAATAATGTTGGTGAAAACATTGCTTTCATTATTCATTTACATTACATTTACATTTATTCATTTAACAGATGCTTTTATCTAAAGTGAAGAAGAGTAATACAACAAGCAATTCATCATAAAGAGGCAAATAACACAGGAAGTGCTCGTAATGCAATGACGTGGGCCCCTTTGGGCTTGTTGAAGACCAGGCATGCTGCTGCATTCTGAATCATTTGTAGAAGTTTGATTGCACATGATAGAAGTCTAGCCAGAAGAGCATTGCCATATAGTACAGCCTAGAAATTATAAGGGCGTGGACAAGAAGTTGTGCAGCATGGTTCAAGTAAAAGCTGAGCCAGGAGACCTTTTTGTGTAGCATTTGCATGTCTATGTGGGTTTCTTCCATGTATTCTAGTTTCCCCCACAATCCAGACATGCAGCATAGGTGAATTGGAGACACTAAATTGTCAGTAGGTGTAAATGTGTGTAAGTCTGTGTGTGAGCTCTGTGATGGACTGGCCGTCTGTCTAGGGTGTTTTCCCCTCTTGGGCCCAAGTCACTAGGATAGCCTTCAGCATCCCCGTGACGCTGCAGAGGATAAGGAGTTTGTAGAAGGGATGGATGGTTACAAATAACTTGAGTTCACTTTTACTACAGCATTCAATAACAGAACAATTTTTAAAATAAAGTTTGATTAAACGCCAGTCAAAGTACTCCAGATAAACCCAGAGTAAACTTCAATTTTTGAATGGCAAATTTCAGCCAGGAAGACTTCAAATCTAGGCAAAGGGTTAAGAAATGTGTTCTTGTAATTAAAATATTTGCAATGCAATGCAAAAAATGCATATAAATACTCCTATATATGTATGTGTGTGTGTATACACACACACACACACACACATATATATATATATATATATATATATATATATATATAT